ATTTATATTTATAACTCTGAAATATTGATAGGGGAACAATAAATAAATTTAGTTTATTGAAATAAATATACGAATAGGAGAGGAGTCACATATAGAGCAGAGGGTGTGGTATGTTTGCCTCTAACGAAAGTTGGGTCCTAATCATTGCTTCGGGGACCATTCCTCCCTCGGTCCCAATCTGAATCCACCGAATTAATTCCCAACGTATATATTTTTCTATATTTTTCAAAATTCTAAAATTAAATCATAACCGATACAATAGATTCTGTGTGATGTAAGATATATAGTATGTGAATCTGTTCACTAAGCAATTATGAATATATATAATTTTTTTGATAAGAGACAATTTCTTTCAATTTCCGACAACGAAACCATGCGGTGTTCGTCCATCTCGATTCAAATAGTTACAGTCCATTGATCGAATTAAAAAGAATGTATGGTATAAATCATACTATCAAATTCATTTTTGTGTATTAATAGTAGAAATATGAAATGGGCATGGATTATATATACACACACATACACAAGCGTCAATAATATAAAATGGATATGTAACGTATAATAGATACGTTAACGTCGGTTTGATAACTCGAACGAATTTATTGTTCCGGCAAACTGAAAATACACCACTCAACGTGTATTGGGTTATCATCATTTCATCCGCCGGACCCTCTCTATGTACAATGTACATTTATATGTATATAAATAGCTAAACATATCACATGTGGACACTATTTTGCATATACATATACATATGTATATATATATACACATATGTGTATATATATTTATACGATCGGACCCTAATGTTAGTGAATGAGCATAGAAAAGGACAGATAAAGTAATAGTTACAGACAAAATCGCCAAAAAATAGTTAGTTTTGTTGACAGTTTTGACACTACAATGATGTTTGATAGATATACACATGAATTAGCATCAGAATCTTATCTCCAGTAACTGAACTTCTGATTCAGACACAAATGTTCATAATTATGCATGTGAATAAGTTATGATATGATAACAAAACCTTAATTATATGTTATATTTTTAACAAAACCTTGATTCAGACACAAATGTACATCTGTATATGTTAGACAACGAGACATGATTTGGGAAATTGAGTTTTATAATTTATCCTATTCAGTCATAAATATGAATACATACATATATATATATATACGCCTATATATCTGTATTCATGGGGTTGAAATCAATAGTAAATAATTTTAAATCTAAGCCAACTTGCCGAAAATATCAAATATAAAGTTAAATATTTAAATTATGAGAATTATTTCACATGGTCTTAGACGTATATAGGTGCATGTATATATTATTTAAATATTTTTGTCAATGTCGAAGACGAATCCGACATAAGGAACTCCAAGTCGACCATATGTGTATCATTGGGTAATGATTAGGAAAATATTCGAAGGAGGCTCTTCATTCATTTTATAAGAAATTAAATATAATTAACGATATCAAATCAATCCATCATTTCGACGTGTTTTGATCGAGGACTCATTGGAAATTATTCATTATTCCACATTTTCATCCATCTAATTAGCTATTTACGTTTTTTTTTTAAATTGATTTATCAAAAAATGACGCAAACATGACTGTTTGGGCCCATTGACGTTAGGCCTAAGTGATTGTGTTTATTCGTATTGCGAGGCCCAACTGTAGCCCAATATACATATATGAATGTAGGCCCAACTTTAGCCCATTAGGCCCAATATACATACGTACTGTTTGATCCAAATCGGTTTATCTAAAGTGAAATGAACATATATAAATGTAGTCATTCGGGGTTTTTTATACCCATATCATACGATGATAATAATTAAAACTCCGAATATGAAATCTGTCTGACCGAGATTTTATATAGTAAATATATTTGTTTCTTGATAAATCGGACTTTGGTCCGACTATACAAAATATGAATTTTATAATATGGTTGGGGAAAGTATTTGGCAATATAATATGTCCAAGAAGACAAGTTAAAAGAAAAGAAAAACACACCTGGTCAAACTAACAACCGACATTGGAGATTAAGATGATATTTTTTTTTCTCCCACAAAAATGTTTTTAAAAATACTGTTTGGTGGGCGAGAAAGCTGCCGAGAAAATGAATGGAAAACACATGCGGGGTTAGCAAAGTAATTTGTCATTTTGCGGAGACATTACCTGTTATAAAATAATCGGTCCCGAAAGCCTATATATATATATAGAGAGAGAGAGAGAGAGAGAGATCATACGAGCTAAATTTAAGATTAATTAAAAGCATGCTTTATAATATATAAATATATAAAACTGTAATGCAAATTCGACTTATTAAAAATCATTCTAAAAGTAACTTTTGTTTAAACCTCTATTTTTTTTAATCTTTGTTTATTCTAGATTAAAATCTGTTTAAAACGATATTTGTACTAATATGTTCTCGGATGATAAATACTAGTTTCGATTAAAAAGAAGATATGGTAGATTTGAAACCTTCATATTTTGGAACATTTATGAAACTAAAATTTATTAGAAATTTAAGCTGCGGATTTATTGGGAATTTGTATATCTTTTTCTACTATTACAAAAAAAAAAAAAGATTGTGCATCTTTTTTTTTTTTTTGGAATGTAAGATAATATCGTATCTAACAAAGGGGAAAGGGACAAAAATTACGTGTCTGGAAGACACGTTAGTTTGCCTGCTCCCATTAGAGACATTAGATTCTTTATGGTTCAGTTCCTGTGTTGGCTGTCTTAGGGCTTGTCCAAAAAGCCACAACTCGATCGGCAGTTTCTTTTAAAATCTTACTGTCAATACATATATATGGGAATATGAAAATAAGGACGATCGGGTGAGGTGTTATAATCTTCTAATTTCGATTCAAGATCTATCTGCAACTGCAAGTAATTAATTATCTACGTCGCATATACATACACACACACACACACACAGAGACGCATGTATGTACGTATATATCTGTGCTATAATATACATATACAAACAAGAAAGTGTCATTAACGTGAGAATGTGAAATGTTGGGGGAGAGAGTGCGTGTGGGTCACCGGTGCTTTGGCGCTTTCAGACATTTCAGTCAGATCGCCATATGACTATGACTCTCTCTCTCCAATGCCTCATTATTATATGATGTTTATGAAATTGAAATCAAATCGAAATTGAAGAGCCAGCTCCACTTTCATAATGGTCAGACCATATTATACTAGGGTGGGCGTTTCCGTAACGGAACCGAGCAATCCGAATCGTTCAAAATTTGCGAACTATATTAATTTAAAAAAAAAATGAATTTCTCAAAATCGAACCACAACGAACTGAATTTAAAAAAAAACCCCGAAAAAAAGATTTTTTCTTGAAGATTTGATTTTTTCTAATAAAAATTGAAAATGAATCAAATCGAATATAATATAATAACGGATTGGTACTTATTTGTATAGAACCGAATCAAATCATTAATTTCCAACCCGAAACCGATTCGAATACCGAAACGTCCATCCTACATGATACGTTAGGTTAGTGCTATCCCGACTTTCGCAAGTTCTATCTATTTATGTGATATATATATATATATATATATATATGATCATCAAATCGGTTATACACAAACACATGTAAAATAAATATTTAATTTCAAGTGAATATATTCTTAATATATTGTGCTAGTCTATAGAGATTAAACATTTAGCAATATATATAAAAAAAATGAGTTGAATAGGAGGTTCAATCATGCACAGAAGCCAATTAGGGTTCGTACAATTTTATTGGAGACTGTTTTTTTTTTTAATTCCGATGCTTATTTCATTCATGTGAATGGATCCTCTTCATGGGGACCATGATTTTTAATGCATGAATGCATACATGTCTTTGTGAAAGTAAAAAGATAAAACAATGTACATTCATCTGTATACGTTCACGTCTATATATATATATATATATATATGCACATTTATAATTTCGAAAAAAAAGAATGGCGGATAAGTGGGGAAATTCGAAGGGGAAAAAAACCTATAACGTATTTTTTTTAAAACTAAAATACGTCTACTATTTTAACATTCGCGTATATAAACAAATACACACACATATATATGCTTATGTATGTATGATTAGAAATATATTTATATAATATCAATATTTGTAATCAGATAGTTCCAATTACTTTCATCTTCTATATATATTATGCTTTATCTCCTGTTTAGCAAATTATATGTTAATATAAAGTGTATATTATATAATTCCATGCCCATTTGATTCAGTGAATTAAAGGATAGAGACAAATATGACGTCGAGATTGCACTAAAATTCTGCCCCAACAAGACCATGTCTTGTCTTTCTTTTTCAGTTTTTATGTTTGCATCTCTCTTTTTCTTTTTCCCATTTGTTTGTTTCTAATATATATATATATATATATATATATATACACACATTATTTGAATTTTTGTTTTTTATATTATTTCTTTTATCTTTTAAAAAAACTTGTGCCCTAGTGACTTTGATTCGTGGAACCATCCAAAGCCATTGAATCCTTTGCCCCACGTTCATGTTTTTTCTGGACATTTCGTAATCTTTTTTATTTTCCTTACTTTTCTTTTTCATTTTCCCCTCGTCCAATACAATGTGTGTACGTACATATATAAATATTCATAAAATGGTTTTATGGTAACATTTTTATTATAAGTAAAAGTTCTGAAAACTTAATGAATCTGTCTAATTATTTTGTTTAGAGCCTACACCAAAATTTTGGTAAAATATATTTCAATTTAATTAATATCATTAAAAATTTATTAGGTATAACCATTACTACAACAAATTGCTTTTCTTTAAAAATATCACTGTACTTCCATGTTCTTCGGCCTTGGTGAGAAAAAAACAGATCCACTAATAAAAACAAAAGACATTTAAATTAATACCAATAAATCCAAGTAAAAAAACTTATAAAGAAGACCGCAATAATATATTAATATCTAACATATACATATACACACATATATAAATACACACATCCCCCACTTTCCATCTTCCCCTCTTCACCAGCTCTCACCTCTCTCTCTCTAGTTTCTCTCTCTAACGGCGGAGCAATGGGTTTCCCGGTGGGTTACACCGAGCTTTTCCTTCCAAGACTATTCCTTCACGTGCTCTCTTTATTGGGTCTGATCCGAAAATTAATCTCAGCCGTTTTCCGGGTCATAGGTCTACCCGATTTCCTCGAACCCGATCCGATTTCATGGCCCGATCCACCTCCACTCTCCCCCTCATCTGCCGCGTACCCGTCGGAATCCTGCTTTTTCCCGGCGGCGATACTGGCCGGAGAGATCTTGCCGGTTGTCCGGTTCTCGGAGCTGAACCGACCGGGGTCCGGATCCGAATGCTGCGCGGTTTGCCTGTACGAGTTCGAAGACGAGGATGAGATCCGACGGCTCACAAATTGCCGACATATATTCCACCGGAGCTGTCTGGACCGTTGGATGATGGGTTACAATCAGATGACGTGTCCACTGTGCCGTACGCAGTTCATTCCAGATGATCTTCAAGAGGCTTTCAATCAGAGGCTTTGGTCTGAATCTGGAGTTTCTGATCACCTCCTCGGAGTATCTTCATAGGGCATATAATTTTTTTTTTGGGTGGTTTAATTCCCAAAAAAAATGGGGATATAATTTCTTTTTTTTTTTTCTAGTTGGGTTGGGTAATGAATCATATGATTGTGAATATATAATGGTCACTGGTTTCTAAGAAAAGAAAAAAAAGATTGTGTGATGGATGAATATAAAATGAAATGAAAATTTTGAGTTTGGTACAATTTGTAAAGTTGCTCTCTTTATTCAGTTTTTGAGGATATTTTACCATAACAAAATAATTAATAAATTCTCTTGCAATTTATTTTATAGCATGTTCTAGAAATTGTTGTGAATGTGCAAAAAAAAGATTCTTATTATATTAGTTACATGGTTCAAAAGACTATAGAATATATGACTTGTACAAAATGTTTTGGGCATTGGGGGTGAAGCAGCATTGTTCTCGCATGTTCAATATCATTTTCGATTATTGTATTTATTCGCAGAAGTTCGTTAATTTTATCTATTTAATAGCGTTAAATTAATTTCCTTATATATAAGGAGTCATGCATGCATAAACCATTGAAAGATGTTAGTTTGTTCATCAAATCGACAATGTAAATTGAAAGACGGAGCAACAACGTGAGCGGAAAAAAGTAGGAAGGATTTGGTTATACCAGATGGTCGGACCAAATGTTGTGCATCTCTTCACATGAGTTATTTGTGTTTAATTATATACCATTTTATAAATATACAGAAGAAAAGGTGATTAATATTAGATCTTTTTTTTTTTACAAAAAAAAATATTAGATCTTTTGGCACTTCTTGCCTAAACATGATTGGGGATTTTTCAGTAGATCAAAGAAACTGCTATATATATATATATATATATATATATATATATATATATATATCGTATTTATATATATTTTATCATGTTTTG